ACAGTAACTTTTGATTTCAACTATACAATTCTCATAATTTCCTTTACAATTGAGACAACACAGTGACTTCACGCTATAATTTCTGCCAATCACTTAATCAGATCGGCGATGGCTTAGGCTGCGCGTTTAAGTACTAAAAATGAATTAGGGGAAATGATAAAGGCAAATAGAAATTTAGTTAAATACAAATTGGGGCTCTATAGCGTGCGCGTAAATGAGAAACGGAAATCGAATGAATCGACTAAATATCAATTACAATCGAAAGGTGTTCGCAGCGAGCGGCGATCGTTAAGCAAACTCGTGAGCCGCGCGCCGAGCCGAACGTTGAGGTCTGCTTACACGTCCGCTACGATTTTCGTAAATATAATCGACTAAATTGATTTTAGTCGGAACTAATTAATATGGATTTCGTTGTGAACTCAATACACAAAGAACTAATAAGTAAAAGGACGCTCAACTTTCGGTGTTAAGTTGTTAATGTGGCCCATGGACTCATGACACGTATGCAACGCTCACCTGGTGAAGTTGTGTCGACATCCCTGATCCTTCCCCATTGTGTCATAGCGTGTTCGGGTTAAAATCATAAATACATTGATCCTGAGGCAAGTTTCGGTCTCTCCCGGAATACGAGGCGTGGAACTGTGTGCTTAGTGCGAGTTTTTTAACGTTCTCGATAGCGTAAAAGTTAACTCGAATCTGTATGGAGTTGGCACATTTGCCTGCGTTGCGTTTGAGTTAACTTTTATGCTGTCGAGAACGTCAAAAAGCACACTGGTCGCAAAGCTGGCTTAGCTATTTTATGCAACGACTTTCATAATAGTTGGTCACCAATAACAAAACAATCTATATAATATAATTAGTGATAAGGGATCATAATTGAATTCAAACGAACATACTCGATGCCTCCAATGAACTCTAACTCAAAATTTTGAATTTTTCAATTTTCACGCAAATCGCTTCACTATTTTAAAAGTATTACAATTAATCATTATTGATGGGGTTCGAAGCAAGAGTAAATCAGCTAGCTACACAAAAAAACCATAAATATATCTGCAATAATAAAGATTTTATGAACTTTTTCCGTTTAAACGCTCCTCCTGTAAATCTACGAATTTGGAGTTAGCGTAGTGTTCATTGGAGGCATCGAATATAATTAGTGATAAGGAATCATAATTGAATTCAAACGGACATACAACAATTACACCAGACGAATATCAACGATTTAAGTATTAAAAACAAATCTGATATCCTTATCAGCGCAAGACTGCAAATGTGGGTACGCATTGTGATCTATAATTAAATCAACGTTGGTTTTGACCCCAAATGACGTCACTACATATAAATTCACACAAGACTAAGTTTTGTAATGTTAGGAACTTTTTTTTTTAATTAGGGCAGTCTGGTTGGTATTCCTTCGCTTTTTTAAATTTAATTAGATTTAGATTGTTAGATAATACCCTAAGTGTGAAATGAGCGTTCCCGCTTCCCTCATCGAAACGTACAAACAACAATGTCAATAATAGTTCGGCATAATGAGGCCGCGGACGCGTATTGAGCCGTTTTTGGTAAAACCCGAGCATATGGTGTGAACTGAACGCATTAGCGGACCCGCTTCCTGTCTCGAAAATATATCCTTAAAAAAATAAACTTCAAAACTATTGTTAAATAACACGAATTAGTAACACAAGTGTTGTTGTTTCGAAAAAAAAAAAAAAAAAAAAAAAAAACAAAAAAAGGTGTTGATCTAATTATATGGCGGGAAACGTAGCATCATTTGCTGTACGACTGTTATTATAGTTTACTATTGGAAGTATTTGTTAATCGTAAGCTTTATAATAGGTAACTCAAAAGAAGTTTCTCAGTTAGTCGATTAATTGGTTAGTAGGTTTTTGGTATTTAGTATAGTCTATTTCCCAACACTATTACTGAAGTCGTGAAACATTTTTTTTTTTTTTTCTGTAGCGTATCGACTTTTAAGCCGTATTTTTTTATTTCGACTTTTTTTCGGTCGAAAGAGTTAATATTACTTAGCAGTGCCTGTGATTGTCTCGTCTATCGGTCACATTTTTAGAATCTTATATGTATTTTATAAATAAGTTCAAATTGTAAGGGTTCATTTTCGATTCTACCGCAGACTATGGGTACTATGGGTACTATATATATGGGTCTATAATAGTTTAAGATTTATGACAATATGCGGCGACTTTGTTGTTGTCCACGAGCTCGTAATACAAGGGTCGTTGACACACTTAACGCGCGCTGTAACATATTCAAACGAAGGATACATCATACCTACATCGGAACGTCAGCTCTGGATCGGCGGACGCGAGTGGCGGCGGACATCTGTTCTAAATTCAAATTCACCGTCTGTTCGATTTCTTTTAATGATTATTGAAATTGCCAGTTGTGTTATGCGCGTTCTATTTTTGAATAGGAATCTTTGAGGCGCGCGTACGTACTGTAGGTACCTACGTGAAAATTTTATTAATTTATTATGTTACTTATTAGGTTTGTTGCAATTTAATAAATTAAGCTGTGATTTTTTTGTTTTAACATTTACCTTTTTTCCAGTAAATGCTAATCTTTTCTTTATGTTTGCAATGTCCGTTTGTTTAAGAAATCGTAAAATAAATTTAGCTGAAACATATAAAAAAGGCAAAACAATAAGGGCGAATGAGAATGGTGTTGTTTCGTAATAAGACACCTAACGATCGTTAGTGGTCAATCAATTTAAAAGTTACACGGGCCGCAATTAAAATGGTTATTTTTCGGTAATTACGACACGGATTGTGTGGCAAATGACCTGCGATCAATCAAACGCAATAGCCATGGTTATGTGTGATACGTAATAACCGCTTTGTGCTACAACTAAATGGCGGACAAAGAACGATTTAAAAATTTAAATTTCGATTGTTTTGTTTTGTATTAAAATAGAATCTTTTTTTAAAATCAACTAACTGTAATAAGGACTTAATTAACAAACAAAAAAAGTTTGAAAATGAACACATAAACGTATGTGCAATAAGATACATTTTTGATTAACTGTAATAAACCAACGATTGGCGAGTTTAAAGAAATTCATTTTTTTTTCTTTAAGACAAACACAAACATGGATGGAATATAGATTCTGTGGCAAGCCAATTCTGATAGACTAAGCGATCGCTACACTGAATTGTTAGCTCACTGCACTCATAGCAGATATCAATACTCTCAAGCTGAGCTCCGTGAGCTCTCTAGGCTACCAGAGATTAAGTAGCCAAAAAATTTGGAAGAAGTTGTTAAAGTTTTGGATTTCACAAGAGGAACTCTTTGCTTGATCTCAAAAAAACAAATCCTCAATAAGTTATCTTTAGAACGCCGCGACAAATTAAAACTATATTAGGTATATTATAACTAGAAACTATATTTCTTCTTCAATTTTATATAGTATTTTAATTTTTTTTAAATATAAAATTCGAGTTGTGATTATGAGCTCTGTGTTCCTTGAACACGTAGGGTTAAGAATGTCTTTTTCATTTGGTTTATAAGGTCTCATTGTTGTCTATGGACTATAAGATCGGCCATTGGTTCTTTTTGCCAAAATGACGAATTTTTTTTTTAATTACCATTTTTATTGAGTAGCTGATTTGGTATGTTAAATGTTCACGTGTGATATGTGCCCAGACTCGAACCTGTAGGACGATCCCTTGATCCACCGTCTGCAGATTCGTTTTAAGTTTCTTGGTAAAACGACTATTGCAAGCATACATGAACTCCATTGTGAGGTGAACGAAGGCAGGTGCAACGCTAATGGTTCAGTGGCGTGCGAGCCGCCTCATTACCCATCCTGGTCGGGCAGTTCCGATAATAGAACATTCTCGATTTCACGATAAGAACCTCTCGCAAAAATTACAAAAAACTGTTCGTTTTTTTTTTCTTATGCAAAAATTGGAATGTAGCGCGATCCAATAAAGAGATTGTATGATTTTAATTACGCAGTATTATAAAAATTAAAGTCCCATTTCTTCCTGCTAGAAGGATTGGACAGCCTTGATACACAATTCATATATATATTTATATTTATATGTATTTATTTAAGTACGAGTATTTGTATATATAAATATTATGTATGTTATATATAAACATATGTTTAAGTAATATCACTATCACACTACACTTACCAAGGTTTATCTCTGCACCCCCCTAAGGTAGACTCTCAGAGAATGCCTATGGCATTAAGTCCGCCTTTATACTGTCTAGTATATAAAGTAGTAAATAAATAATTCAGACAGATCTCACACCTCGAGGTGACTAACGGTATTATTATGGGTTCGCTTAAAAAAAAGATCTGTGTTGAAATTTCTGCATTAGCAAGGCTGTGATAACTATTGATAAGTAATGTGAAAACAGCTTCCCAGAAGTTAGGAGATGATCTGAGATCCTTAAACAAGCCTCTTTTAATATAGTATCAATCGATTTATTCTAGTTTTATTTAAAAAAAAAACAATAAGAAATGTAGTTTTAAAAACAAAACACACTTAAAGAGTAAAGTCGACTAAAAATTATAATATTTTTTTTTTGTCTTGTGTGTGTTATTCGTCAGAACGAAGTTATAAAGTTATTGTATCTTCATCTGTTGTTGATTCGTGTGCAGATTAAGAAGTCGAAAGTTCAGAGATTCTGAATACAAACAAACATACTCAACCAACAAAAGTGTGTTAATAACAGTTTTTGTTTTTTGTTTTTATTGCTTCAATGGTTGGTCGAGCTCACGGCCCACCTGATGCTAAGTGATAATGGAGCTCATAGACATCTACAATGTAAATACCGCCACCCACCTTAAGATATGAGTTCTAAGGTCTCAGTATAGTACAACGGCTGCCCCAACCTTCAAACGGAGAACTAAATAGGCAGAGTGGTGGTATCTACCCGTGGGGACTCACAAGAGGTCCTACCGCCAGTAATGTACAGTTAATTTAGTACCAGGAGAGCATAGCACTGAGCGAGTATTGTTTCCACAGAGACCTCCTTCATCATCGCTGTCGTATGGCGGCGCGGTGAACGATGACGTGCGCTCCCCAGGGTCGGGGGGCACGCCGGGACCACTCAGTCAGCCCCCGCCGCAGACCCTCGACGCTACAGACCCAGGTAAGACATTTTCTACACTCAAACTTATGTATACGGAGAAAATCTGATCAGTGAACCACTGACCTTTCAGTAGGCTAGTCGTTTTTTTATTTCCCTTGTAGGTAGACGAACATACAGCCCATCTGATGGTGAGTGGTTATCGTGGACTTCAGCAATGCCAGCGGCAGAGCCAAGGCGCTGCCTATCAAAACAAGTGCTTTTTTTATTTTTCATTTATTGCTTAGATGGGTGGACGAGCTCACAGCCCACCTGATGTTAAATGGTTACCGGAGCCCATAGACATCTACAACATAAATGCGCCACCCACCTAGAGACATAAGTTGTAAGGTCTCGTTTTGAACAGTACAACGGCTGCCTCACCCTTCAAACCGAAACGCATTACTGCTTCACGGCAGAAATAGGCAGGGTGGTAGTACCCACCCGTGCGGACTCACAAGAGGTCCTACCACCAGTACAACGAAATCTCAAGCGTATAACTCACTTTTAGCGAGATGATAAAAATGATTGAGAGCCTTCGATAGCTCTGTATCTGGTTACAGTAGTACCTACGCGTGGGTTTAACAGCCTTTTTATATACGTATCATGTTTCTAAACAAAGGCTGCCTTAGATAAAGCACGACGGTTTAGAGCTTTTATTGGCGAGAGAGTCCAGTCGATGTCGCTTAAAACGAAAATAAATTTGCTTAAAGCGTCTCTAAAGTTTAATTGAATACAATTTTAAAATCATTGAATTAGTTTTAAACAGAAATCAGGGAATATATTATTATGCTGATATTTGTTTAGAGTTACTGTTTCATTCAAATAAGAGAATGTTTGTTTAAAACTAAAGTCACTCATTCTTCATAAATGTGGCTGTTATATATATACCCTTGTATGGATTAAAACTACATAATTTAACTTTAATTTAATTTTGTACGCATAGGTAGGTACCACCACTCTGCCTATTTCTGCCGTGAAGCAGTATTGCGTTTCGGTTTGAAGGGTGGGGCAGCCGTTGTAACTATACTGACTCAACGTGGGTGGCGGCATTTACGTCGTAGATGACTATGGGCTCCGATAACCACTTTACACCAGGTGGGCTGGGAGCTCGTCGACCCATCTATGCAATAAATAAATAAAAACTACAGTGCGCCGCGTAGAGTACTTACATGACACTCAAAGGGTTAAAAATAAGATTCACCAAAAATGAAATACTTTTTATTTATTCAAAATTCTAAAGCACAATATAAATTATCGGGATCTAACTGTCAGTTGGGGCTACTCAACGTCGCGGAGACAGTGACTCAGTGACACATTCATCTGTCATTTGTACAATTAACATAGTATATCGATCAGTCAATGCGACGGTTACCGTCCGACACAAGCCGCGTCGTCACATCAACACTGGGCTCGTATCCTGGGCCGTGATGAGGCGGTATTTAATGCGCACTTGATATGCCATCTTCGTTTGTGAAACTAATAATAAAGCCACGGAAAATCTTATTAAGATAGGTGCTTGGCTATGGTGCCGCGCACACGGGTATTACGACCCATGATTGGGTCTATCGAACCCCTTATCAGCCTTTATTTTTGCAATTCCTACCAAAAATTTTCAAAAATCAATAAGCATGGCTTCACTTATCCATTGCCATAAAGAACTAGTATTGGAACATATAATATAGATTAAAAGTGGCCCAGTATAATTAAAGATTTTCAAATCATACTCATAAGCAATAAATGATAGTTTAAAAAACTAACAAAATACGCTTTTATAGAAAACCCAACTAAAAAATAAAAAACAAATTTGAATTATTTTCTATTTTTTATTTGGGTTTTCTTTAAAAGCGTAGTTTGTTAGTTTTTTTTAAACTATTATTTATTTTTCATTTTTTAGTTGAATTTCAATTTTTTCAATAATTTTTTTTAATTGTTGAATTGTCACCGGTCCTTCATAAGTATACCAAATTTCGAGTTAATCCGACGTTTTGAAGGGGGTCTAAATCACGTTCAAAGATTCCGTTACAAACATACATACGTCTGAAGCTAATAAAAGCGTATTAAAATCATAATTACATTGGTACACTTTTATATTAAAACATAGCAACACTGTGCAATTTTATTAGCTAAACATTTAAAAGACATTCACGCTCGACTGTACCGACGACTATATGATAATACTGTCAAATTGACAATTCACAGTTGACAGATCGGCGCGTAAAGAACTGAAAGGGATATTTCAACGGCTCTCAAAATGCGTATTGAAATCGTTTATGTCGTATCGGTGGTAAATCTTAGATTATCTCCTACGTTTTATGTGAGTCAGGTACTTACAATCCTTTCTCATATATGAATAATAATTTAAGAGGCTACTTTTGTTTTGTTTAAATGCATTAGTAAGTGTGTAAAGGACGTCTATAAAATATATCGGAGCCTAGAGAACAATGAAGGTTTGAAAACGCAAAATATTGGTAGCTTTATGAAAAGCTTTGATATGAAAGTTCTGCAGTTACCGTTCGTTTAGAACGCTGAAAACAAATGGCGTCAAAGAGACGATCGCGCGTGTGACAGCTGTCAAAAATGGCCGCCGTATTCGCGCGAAAATAACAAAGGTTTTTTTTTTTTGCATTTCCACGTGGCGCTTTTTATTCAGTGAAAAAAATTACGTTTCCGACGCACGTAGATTTGTAATTGTTTGGTTTGTCGCATCGCTGTGTCTGTGCGCGACGAAACGCCTCGCCAAATTGAATTTTGGTGAGCCGGGCACACAATGATCTGTAACTAGGAAGCCATGTTATTTTTTACTTTTTAAAATACAAACACGCTCCGGTTGCATTTTTGTGCAGTCCGTGGTTCGATTTTTGAATTCGAACAAGCAATGTGGCTTTTTGGCGGGAACGTGACAGGCGAAAATGTGTTGACTGTTTTACTTTGTTAATTCAGTGTTTCTTTAGGTTCAAACGAGTAATAAGGGCTAACTGCTCCTAATCTGTGAAAGTTCACAAGGGCAAATTTAAAACAAAGTCGCCAAAAGAGCTTCTCAGGTCTTCCTGAAAACCGATTGAATGTCAGTAGATTCCCATCGTATCATTTAATTTCACATACAATATTAGGCATTTATAATATTTAATTAATACGTGAAGCAAAAACTTTGTATCCCTTTTTACGAAAATTGCGCGGACGGAGGAGTATGAAATTTTCCACACTTATAAAGAATATAGAGAAGAAGTGCACAATGCTAATATTTTTTTAAAATAATGCATAAAAGATACATTAAATCAATAAAGAAAACATTACACACACTACATACCATGTATTTGACGCACACACGCATGCATACTATTTATTGTCAAACTTTTGTTCTTGACGTCTGTTGTCAAATTGAGAATAGATATTTAATATTGTTTGTCTTTGTTAATATTTTTTATAGTGTAGTCTTGGCGAAATTTGTGTTTATATAAGTATAAAATACAACCATAATACTGTAAAAACTTACAATTCCAATTAATTATAGTCGAATTTCGACTACTGCGGGACCTCTAGTAATATTTAACAATTCAAGATTATAGATTTGATGCTGGCAACAATGGAATCGCTAGCAGCCAATAGTAGCCATACTTAAAAATAAACGAAGAAAATGGCTAATGTGTCAGTTATTGACGTTAATTTTGTATGCGATCATATTTTTTTGTGTTTCTAAGACACTACAGTAATTTAGAAAATAATTATTCAATATGTCACAACGTCTACCACCTAATACTTTTTATACGATGATTCATCTGTATTCACAATAATAAAAACACTCTGAACAGATAACATGATATGACCTTTTTACTTATTTTCATATTATATCAATATTATATAATTATTATTGGCCATAAAAGTAATTAATGTTCTGATATCAAGTTTATTGACATTAAACTGATCATTGCTCATTTAAATTTCCTTATTGCTGTCAAGATAGATTTCTGTTCGCGTTTTATAAAAATTCCGCCGTAGACATAGTATTGGAAAAGTGAGAATTATTCGCTTATTAACCGACGTCAAAAAAGGAGGAGGTTCTCAATTCGAATGTATCTTTTTTTTTAATGTTTATTACCTCATAACTTTTGACTGGGTTAATCGATTTTGACGATTCTTTTTTTATTAGAAAGCTGACGCTTCCCGTGTGGTCCCATTACAATTTAGTCCAGTTCTGATAATGGTATCCATGAGAAAACCATATAAGTCTTAAATTTGCATTAAGTACGTGCGCGACAAATAGATGAATAACTCAATATCATGCCAACCGATTTCGATGATTATTGTTTTTAGTGTATATTAATTTGTTTTGGAAATTCTTTTTTTTCTATTTGAAGTCGAGTTTTGTTAAAGCATGTCTATTGTCAATTATTTTCGTGAGGAATTCTAATTGGTGACGTTCAATTGTTTTTTTAAATTTTGTACATATCTGAGATTAGTGAAATAGGTGCGATATAATAGAGTCTAGAATAGGGAAATTTATTAAATTTAAAGCTAATTTTAAGTTACTAACATAGATTATAAGTAGGTACCCTTACTTACTAACAAAATGTATGGCTTCTTTAGTGAAATAAGGGTTTAATAATAATAAATAATAAAGCGGCTACATACGATGTGAGGTGTACATACCGCATAGACGGTATCTTAGCAAAGTGGGACTTAGCAAAGCTAGGGTTAGCCATCTGACTGTCCCACCCCTGGGAGCCCAAAGTTGAGATGCTGGATTGAACTAAAGATATCGCAACTGGAACCGCAAGAATTATGGAAAGAAACAAACCGAGGAATGTTCTCGACTAGTCCAAAGTCCATTAAGGGCTATGCCAATGATGGTGTTAACAATTAGATACGAATACAAAGTGAATTGTTTTTTTTTTCTTCAAATTAAGCGTGCGTTTTGCGGTTTGGCCAACGGAACAGCACTGTATTCTTTTAAATAAGATTTAAGAACTAAGATTAATACTAGATTTTTTTTAAACTTTTGGGCTATGGGCTTATCTATCTGA